ATCATTCTGGAAATCAAATCATCTCCACTTTTTGAAATAAACATGGTTTACACAATTTCTTAACTTCACTAATGAAATTTATCGTATTCATTGCTATCATTGGTGGGTGTAACAACACTGAGTCCAACCCATTGTAATCGAATTCTTCTCTATATTGCATATCGATTCCATTGGAAAGGGATCACTTCTCGGAAACAATCTTGACGTATCCGAGTACAGATTCACCATTGACCAAAGCACCATCAATGAGAAACCACAATTCTCGAACAACTGAATGAGAATAAAATTACAAAACAAACGATACTTCATAAATTAGAGTATACTCCAACAAAACTATCAAAAATGTATACAAGTTGTTGTTATGTGGTCAAATAAATTGGCTTATTCAATTGAATAATCATAAAGAATGTGATATTGAAATGTGGTTCTAATTGCCTACACAATTGGCGATGATCTTTATGACCTACATATTTCCACTTGGAAAGTAGTTAATATGGCACGACGTTGATTGAACATCATTATTTAGTTGAATTTTAATTCAAGGGTAGGTGATTTATTGGACGAATGAATGAATGAATTAATTAATTAAAATGAAGCGAGAATATGCAACATAGACAGAATGTAGGTATCAAATTAGATGGTTTAGAGGAAGGAGTAAGAGAAGAAGAAGAAGAAAAAGAAGAAGAAGGTGATGATGATTCTGAACATACAAAGACTCAGTAGCTAAATAGATGATGCAATTTTCGAGGTATCTATTTTGTTTACGAAATTGAGAGGATGATGATTGAGTGTCCGGCTCTTTAACCGGGTTGGTGGATATGAAGAGTCGACTTACGGGAGTTGATAAACACTGATTGCAAACCAATGGTGAACATGAGCTCCAGTATCCTGAGTGAACAAATGGTGTATGAACCGATTGTTGGTCACCGGCAACCATGGGACTGTATGTGGAAATAAGGTTAACGATAACAAAAATAGAATAAAATAAATAAATAATGATAATAGAAGTAATTTCAAAAACAAATTCATTAGTTCAGTTATAACTGGCCATGGAAGGGATAGGTGGGTTACGAATTTCTTCTGTACACGTGAATTGGGGTTATATGTACGAATACCAATGGCTTCAGTTATATGTAGGAGGCGGGAACTAACTCCGTTGGGAAATGATGGAGGTATACGATAGATAACTCGAAATGATTTCGATTTATCTACAGCATGACCGTTATCAACGTGATGTGCAAAGATAGAACTCGAATAGATTTTCTCTTACCCTTTATATACCAAGTTGGTAGATGTTCACTCATTCGTTGGTTAAGTAGCCTGGTAGTAGGCTCGATATAGTTATCTCCACAGGAGCAGCTGAATTTTCAAATGCACATTGAAGAGGCCAACTCAGGTAAATTATCCTGCGTTCGAGTAGACATCGCTAGTCGACAAGAGAAAGTCAAAGCAAGATTAGCTGTGTAGAATGTCCTGGTGATTACTTTAGTTAATCTATATTTCAGAGTATCACTAGCCACATCCCCGTTGAATTGTACTTTCATGTATAAAGGTTTCTTACGAACAACCGAAATCTCCGACTTCTTTATTATGTCATACATGTACTTCTTAATGAAAGCATTGGAGTAGCCGATCTCGGTCAGTGAGTTGTTGATAAATTCAAGCTCTTGACTTAGATTATCTACTGTACATATCTTTTTTCCTCTGCTAGTGAGACATCTGACCAGATTTCTCGTGTAGGGGATAGGTGTGAAACTGCAGAAGTGAGTATATTGGCATGCAGAGAGGTTTCATCTATACACGCTTCTACTTAATATGCCGTCACTTCGTCTGCTTAGTGTGACGTCAAGGAAGTTCAGCTTATAGTCATGCTCGCTTTCATCAGTGAAAGTGATCGCTGGGTGAACATTGTTGAATTTTTCTAAGAGTTCGTCCTTACTGGTGTTTTGATCTACGATAATGAAGGTGTCGTCAATGTAGTGGCAATATAAATCAAGTTTCTTAATAATCTAATTAAGAGGTCCATTTTCTAGCTTTGCTAGGAAGAGATCGGATAGAATCGGGCCTAAAGGTGAGCCCATGGCTATCTCGTGTATTTATCTATAATAAGTGTTGTTGAAGATTACTTTTCCTAGTCTATTTACCCACGTTTGACCTTCTATTCCTAACGTCTAACTATTGATAAGACTTTTGTTATCGTATTTTATTATTCTTACCACTATCAAAACACCCGCTTTCCTACCTTCAACTTGTATTTTTACTTACTATGTGTGGTGATGTATTCTATTTCATTGTGATTATTGACCCATATTGTCGCGAATAGTTTAACATTTTCGCATAAATACTCATGTATATTAGAATAAAGCCTGATGACGATCTAATTGAAAACAATATTGTTCGCTTATATGTGTTGTGTCATTCAAGTGCATTATTACAGGATGATGGATGATGTCTAGTAGTGGAATCCAGAAATCGTGTTTCGTCGTATTTGTGACTGAACAGTTGGATGTACATGCATCCCAGTGTTGATGTTGACTGTGAGACGTGGACACAACGCCGGTCGTTTCAATCGCTTCATCGCATCATCTATTTAGCTACTGAGTCTTTGTATGTTCAGAATTGTAGCGGTAAATAAATCCCCAAACTAAATAGCTCTGTAAATTTTCGACATTGGATGCTGACCATATGTTTTAGTGGACTCATCTAGCTGAAGGCGCTCGGTCATGCATCCGCACCAGATCACGTGTGGTAACGCTGTGCTCAGCATCTATCGCAATCGCTAGCCAGATTAGATCCGAGAATTCCGATATATTGGTTATCGCCAAATACACCATTCCGATCCCCTCGACCCTGTCTTTTGATTTCTCTCGGTGGGAACAAAGTATATTAGAAGGTGTTACTGGTAGAAGCGTTGTCAAACACTGAATACCTGTATCATGCTCATTGGTGAGCCCAACGTGATCTGGTACACCTAATTCCAACCATGAGTTTGTTCCATTTTGGGATTTCACATATCATTGTTTTATTTTTATATGTTTTTAAACATTGTGATTTTTTTCGTGTTTTTTCTTCGATATATATATATTTTTTTCCTCTCGTTCATTATCGTACTTCATATCTCATCATGGCTGAACAGACACCCAAAGTACTCAAGCTTAAGACTTTGTCCCCACCTTCGTTTCAACTCATGCCTTTCTGGCCCGACAATATCGAAGCTTGGTTCTGCTACGCAGGAGCCGACTTCTCCGAGCACGGCGTGATCGACACACGTGCACAATTCCTCGCAGTAGTCAAGGCACTACCGTGCGAATTCAACAGGTGCGTAACACCTAGTATGTTTACTAGTGATGTTTTCGAACCTTACGAAATCCTAAAACGTTCTATTCTTAATCGAGGAGACCTAACCGATCGACAAAGGTTAGATCAACTCTTCAATAACATCGACCTGCAACACGGTTCTGCGACGGACATGTTGCAACGAATGAGAGAAGTGATAGGCATAAGAACATTCGATGAAGGCCTATTCGAACACCTTTTCTTGTCTAAACTTCCTCAACAGGTGCAAGCGGTTCTGGTTTCGTTTCAGAACAACGCCTTAGACGAGTTGGCTGCATCTGCCGATCGTATTTTAGAAATAACGAAATCGTCTACTACAGAGGTATTTTCAGTCAAAGAAAACCTCACACGGCTCAGAATGACATAACCGAGTTATGTGATACACTCACGCGCTATCTTAATCTTCGTAACGACCGTGATCGCTCACACAGCCCACGTAGAAGCATTTCACGTAAGCGATCTGTCTCTAGACCACGAGAGACGGATAACCCCGACTGGTGCTGGCATCATAACCAGTAGCGGCAATTCTGGATTACCGAGAAGCGACCAACGTCAAGCAATTACGAATCAGCATACGAAGGACCCTTCAAAGTTCTTCAACGCGAATCTAAGTACTATATATTTGATAAGAAAGGAACAAACGACAGCATCAGCATCGATCGCTTAAAAGCAGCTTATTTAGAAGGAAATCCTATTCACGTCGATTTCCCTTCGGGACAATCGCACAACGCGACTCCTACAGTCATAATTACTCAATCAACAACCAATACTAGCGATGACACTCCGAATGTGTCTGAAAATAAACTTAAAAGGACACGTTCTGGAAGAAGAGTAAGATTTCCAGAACATTTAAACGACTATTGCACGTAAAGCATTACTCGACATTTTATATAATCTCGATCTTTCTTTCTACGATATATATTAATCTTTTTTTTAAAAAAAACAATTTTAATATGCTCATATATTTATACTTTTATTTAAAACAAAAAATATTTTTTTAAAGCTGTTACGTGTGCTTTAGTTTATTTTCCATTTTTTTCGCCGACATTGCGTTTTTACGTACATACGAGTGTATGTCGACATGCAATTACATTTTCTTTTTTCTTTTCCAGGACGGCTGGATAAGAACGATGCAGTTTACAAGGAGCCGAAATTTTCATTGTAACTTTTCCTTTTTTACTATGTTGTACCTCGGTACCATGTAGTAAGGAAAGACGACCAGACGCTGCTAAACTTAGTAAGCTATCAGAAGAGTGTTTACCAACGACAAACTCGTTGGGTTTAAATATCTGGCTGGCCATGTCTTAGTCTCATCACTGCCCCACTAGAAGGGAGGGTGATCTGTAGCGGTAAATAAATCCCCAAACTAAATAGCTCTGTAAGTTTTCGACATTGGATGCTGACCATATGTTTTAGTGGACTCATCTAGCTGAAGGCGCTCGGTCATGCATCCGCACCAGATCATGTGTGGTAACGCTGTGCTCAACATCTATCGCAATCGCTAGCCAGATTAGATCCGAGAATTCCGATATATTGGTTATCGCCAACTACACCACTCCGATCCCCTCGACCCTGTCTTTTGATTTCTCTCGGTGGGAACAAAGTATATTAGAAGGTGTTACTGGTAGAAGCGTTGTCAAACACTGAATACCTGTATCATCCAATCAATGATCATCATCGTCATTTTCTCCTTCATCATCATCATCATCATCATCATCATCATCATCATCATCATCATCATCATCATCATCATCATCATCATCATCATCATCATCATCATCATCATCATCATCATCATCATCATCATCATCATCATCATCATCATCATCATCATCATCATCATCATCATCATCATCATCATCATCATCATCATCATCATCATCATCATCATCATCATCATCATCATCATCATCATCATCATCATCATCATCATCATCATCAGCATCATCATCATCATCATCATCATCATCATCATCATCATCATCATCATCATCATCATCATCATCATCATCATCATCATCATCATCATCATCATCATCATCATCATCATCATCATCATCATCATCATCATCATCATCATCATCATCATCATCATCATCATCATCATCATCATCATCATCATCATCATCATCATCATCATCATCATCATCATCATCATCATCATCATCATCATCATCATCATCATCATCATCATCATCATCATCATCATCATCATCATCATCATCATCATCATCATCATCATCATCATCATCATCATCATCATCATCATCATCATCATCATCATCATCATCATCATCGTCATCTTCTTCTTCTTCTTCTCCTCTTCCGTTTGCTTATTCTTCTTGTTCTTGTTCTTCTGCTTCTTATAATCCACCTTCCTCTAAACCATCTAATTTCATATCTACATTCTGTCTATGTTGCATATTCTCGCAGCTAATAATGCTTTGACCTTCTCTTGTCAACTAGCGATGTTTACTCGAACGCAGGATAATTTACCTGAGATGGCCTCTTCAATGTGCATTTGAAAATTCAGCTGCTCCTGTGGAGATAACTATATCGAGCCTACTACCAGGCTACTTAACCAACGAATGAGTGAACATCTACCAACTTGGTATATAAAGGGTAAGAGAAAATCTATTCGCAGTTCTATCTTGGCACATCACGTTGATAACGGTCATGCTGTAGATAAATCGAAATCATTTCGAGTTATCTATCGTATACCTCCATCATTTCCCAACGGAATTAGTTCCCGCCTCCTACATATAACTGAAGCCCTTGAAATTCGTACATATAACCCCAATTCACGTGTACACAAGAAATTCGTAACCCACCTATCCCTTCCATGGCCAGTTATAACTGAACTAATGAATTTGTTTTTGAAATTACTTCTATTATCATTATTTATTTATTTTATTCTATTTTTGTTATCGTTAACCTTATTTCCACATACAGTCCCATGGTTGCCGGTGACCAACAATCGGTTCATACACCATTTGTTCACTCAGGATACTGGAGCTCATGTTCACCATTGGTTTGGAATCAGTGTTTATCAACTCCCCTAGGTGGACTCTCCATATCCACCAACCCGATTAAACAGCCGGACACTCAATCCTCATCCTCTCAATTTCGTAAACAAAATAGATACCTCGAGAATGGTATCATCCATTTAGCTACTGAGTCTTTGTATGTTCAGAATCATCATCACCTTCTTCTTCTTTTTCTTCTTCTTCTTCTCTTCCTCCTTCCTCTAAACCATCTAATTTGATACCTACATTCTGTCTATGTTGCATATTCTCGCTTCATTTTAATTAATTAATTCATTCATTCATTCGTCCAATAAATCACCTACCCTTGAATTAAAATTTAACTAAATAATGATGTTCAATCAACGTCGTGCCATATTAACTACTTTCCAAGTGGAAATATGTAGGTCATAAACATTACCGCTAATTGTGTAGGCAATTAGAACCACATTTCAATATCACATTCTTTATGATTATTCAATTGAATAAGCCAATTTATTTGACCACATAACAACAACTTGTATACATTTTTGATAGTTTTGTTGGAGTATACTCTAATTTATGAAGTATCGTTTGTTTTGTAATTTTATTCTCATTCAGTTGTTCGAGAATTGTGGTTTCTCATTGATGGTGCTTTGGTCAATGGTGAATCTGTACTCGGATACGTCAAGATTGTTTCCGAGAAGTGACCCCTATACAATGGAATCGTTATGAAAAATAGAGAAGAATTCGATTACAATGGGTTGGACTCAGTGTTGTTACACCCACCAATGATAGCAATGAATACGATAAATTTCATTAGTGAAGTTAAAAAATTGTGTAAACAATGTTTATTTCAAAAAGTGGAGATGATTTGATTTCCAGAATGATTTTCTGTTGTTTTGAATTTTCGACAGAAGTGGAGCTACTGAGACATTTATGAGCACTAGACGTCGCATCTCTGCGTCTAATCTCACAGTTAATAATGCGATGAAGCGACACCACCACCATTGTCATCATCGAGTTACTACCTCACAACTGACCCGGTTGAACTACACTGGTCACTGCTTCTCACTAGAACTCCAGGGTGTATCTCTTGAAACCAATCACTAATGAGCATATGTTGTTTAGTATCAGAAATACGGAAAGTTTCATTCATCTAATGAAAATTTGAATATCAATATTAATATTGAACACATCAATATCATGTCACCAATCATATTATATATTATATGAAACGGATACTTTTATTTTGTGTAGGCGATCATGTTAATGAAACGAAATGAGAACTATTTAAGTCTTAGTGCAAATGACTTTTGCCAATATTCATTCAGGAGTAAGAAAGAAATGAAAATGAATTCTGTAAGTTATGCTTAAATATTATGATATTTTAATAGATCAACATAGTTGGTAATGTTATGAATTACTTGAAGCAAGTTATTCTATTGACATCAGTCATCTTTATCTTAGTAAATAATGATGGTAAGCGATAGTATTTCATTCATTTCATGTTGTTATACATAAGTGTAGCCGGATTGTCTTGTTTTGTTTTGTTTTGTTTTGTTCTCATGGATACATCTATTGACTAATAATGTTATATGTATATGTATATATGTATCAGAAAAGGTTTTGTGAAGATCATGAATCAACTGAGGCCAGACCATCATGGAAAACCTGTAAGCACTGGATGGCCGTTTCGTCTTGGAATGGGACTCCTCAATGGTGCGCATCCACAACATTGTACAATGTAGCACCTAGATCATCTACTGTATATAGGATATTATGCAAAATCTTAACTTTCAATAGTTGTTCACATTTATAACTAGTTTATCGAACTGGTTATATAACTGGTTATGTAACGTATGTAACGTATCATTACACTAAACATTTTATTCAATGGAAATACTTAGATAAATTTCTAGTCTCCATTCTTCTCAAAGACAACATGATATCCTGTACATTGTGTACAGTACATATATTCCGATCGATGAAATTATTAATTAGGCAATAGAGAGCTATTCACAATTTGTGGTATAATGCACATCTTATATTGATGTATTTGGACTTAATCACTCCTGACTCATGAACTTTACATTCATTGCATTGAACATTATTGTAAATGATAAATGTTTGTCATTGTTGTCATGTTCAAAGGGTTATGGTGTGGGATTTTGTAGATTCATGGCAAGAAAAAGAACATATTGTAAAACACATTAGTTTGATATGAGAAGTTTGAAGGGAATATAACTGAGATTCTAGGCGAACAAATAAAGTTACTGGTTATATGACAGATTAGAAAGACACTTTTGTAGAAGTTTACATCATTTATCAGTTGAATGAGTCTAAGTGTTTTGTTTGTTTTACAGTTCCAGATGGAGTGATCGACCTGAAACGCTACCATTTCGGAATTGGTTAACCAAATTTGAAAATATATATCGATATATATCTGAATCATGCTATACATTGAAAGAAAATAAACTTTATTTTCCAGTGATGATGTTTCGTTTTAATAACTTCACTATATATCTTAATCAACTTCATGAGTAGTACAGTAATAGTGTTGAACTACGTTAACTAACTTAATCGATTTCTAAACTATGATCATATTGCTCTACTTTCATCAAACATTCATCAATAACACCATTAAGATTAACTAAATAATTCAGCAGCATTACCTATTCATACACTTTTTTAACTATGTGATAAAATAGAGAATGTGTTGGGAGAATAAGCATTCATTGCACATGATCATCTACTACTTAGTTAATTCAAATAGAATGAAAGTATGAGATTAAGAGAATAAACAGATGACTTGAGTAAGCGATTGTATTGTTAGCTTGATTGAATGAAGCATAATGTCATAGGTGTTTATGCAGGTATTACCATTCATATGCGAGAGAGTGTAGTGTATTGTTTTAATAGTAACGTAATAGTGAGATATTATGAAAGCTGTGTATTCTTACAATGTGATGTCACAAAATGGTCCTTTGCTCCATTGAGGATTCCATCTCACGTCTCAGTCTTATCATCTGAGATGTGACCACTGTCTCATTCGAGTCAGGACAAACGAACTAGGCATATTTTGCAAGTTGCTCATCTTTGTGCACTAACTATCCTGATCGAGGATCGGACTCAGATCGAAAGTAGTCGCATCCTCAGTTACAGGTTGTCTTCTAATTAGATTGTATAAGTTTGTACAATTTTGAATTTGTGAATGGTGTATTTTAAGCAGATCAGGAGTGAGAGAGAAATGGACAGGTACTACTGAGTTATGAAGTGTGAAGTCGTTGAATTGAAGAACAGTGAGTCGACACTAAATTTCTATCAGTGTGGTCTGAATGTTCTGAGTCAATTGTTTGTTCATTCTTTTGTCGACTTAAATTACAAAACAAACGATACTTCATACTCCAAGTAAACTATCAACAATGTGTACAAGTTGTTGTTATGTGGTCAAGTGTTTGTTCATTTGTTTGTATGCATTTGTGAGAATTCCGAAGTCGGAGAGAAACATATATTTTTAGGTATTTGATATTCCAATCAATATCAGTCCATCACAGAAATCATCCTTGACTTAATGTTCTCTCTATCAACCACCTTACTAAGTATATCTTTATTCATTTACAAATGAGATCATTCATTTTTGTAAATAATAATTCATTGTTTAAATTTGTAACCAATAAATATTCATTTTCTCAACTGTTTATGAAAATGAACTGAGAAGTTATCCGATAAGGCGCTTTAACTATCCAATGTTCATATTGCATTGATATGGAGATAGATTAAGTGCTTAACATCATGCAAATGAATATTTCACAATTGATTGACCACTGGGTGGTGATCAATTTCATGTGTTGCCGGTACTTCTTATTGCAGATTGATTGTTATCGATCAAGTTGCGATGTGGAAACTAGTTTATGTGACTGGACATTGTGTGCAATATGTTGAGATAAGATGGTGTTTGGAGGTGGTCAACAGGAAACTCTTCACCAGAGATGTTATCACTGGACTGTTTCTGACTGTGTAGCTGGGTGGCACGGGATCGAGTGAACCAGGAGGCAACAGTTCCCTCAAGATAACAGGTACAATTTCCTGTCGAGTGCCAAGTAGCATGAGACACGGGTGCAGGGTTTCCTGTTGACTGCCTCCAACCACCATCTTAAATGAATATTCATTACAGAATGAAGTAAACTGCATTGATATGTTTTTGTATAAAACAAAAGAACGTACTGACAACTTGTGCTAAATAGGGACAAAGTTCATGTTTAACGAATTCTCATCAAATAATTTATCTTCATTGAATAGACCATTTGAGAAATCA